AAATGTACCATGCAATGTACCATTGCAGGAAGTGTCAGGAATGCCCGGCCTTTGTCGTCCAATCACTGAAGGTGGAGTGGGTTTTGATTATCGACTTGGAATGGCCATCCCGGACAGATGGATTAAGGTGAATACTCAAATAGATCAAAACTAAGCTTAATCCGCGCATCCTTAATTCTGGCTTTGCTTTGCCAAGATATAAAATGTATAGCAGTTAGGAAGGAAAAGTCAGACTCGTATTTTTAGAGTCAAAAGGTTCAGGGCAGCAAAAGAATAAAATATTTGATTTAGTGTTGTTTTGGTTTTGCTTTGCTTAGAGCAATTTTCATTATAGTAAATAATCCAGAAATGCTTTGTTTTTGCATTACATTGCTCAATGATTGGTCTAGAAAACCCGCGCCACTCTCCTAAGCCAAGCAGATTCAAAACTTAAACCAATCACGACTTAGCCACACGCGTTTTCGCGCGCTTTAGGCAGTATTAGTTTGAGTTCTCCTTGGCTCTTAATGGTTCTTTTCTTTCCTCTGATCGGCCGTCCTGATTACTTTGGTTTTGGTTTTAGAAAAAAAATCAAAATCAATTGACGCTTGGTGACGCTTTTCCTGCCTCAAACAATACGCTTGTTTTTTCTTTTAGTTTCTTTAGCGCTAGTTTTATTTTCCTACGATCAAATTGCCTTTCTCTATTTCTTTGGTTTTGGATTTTCGACCCTCACCACTTAAGTGCTCTCTAAGTTATTCGTTTAGTTTTTCTGTGGCCATTTGAAACATCTAGGGTTTCAATAATTTTTCTGCACAAGCGTCTGCCGATGATGCAATGGGCGATTTTACTCGAAAAGGGGCCGTAAGGCGAAACCCAAACACGAGAGCATGCTTTCAGGCTAAACTAGCCAGCAAAGCAGGCGTAATTCTGGCGAGTAAGTGCTCAGTATATTCTTAACGAAAATTATGGCCGCCGTCTTTGATTTTATTGGCAGGGGAAGGCCGGGGAGAGAAAGAAATTTGGACCAGGGGGGGTGGTCGTCGGTCAAAAATAAGGAGAGGGGTAGGGGTGGGGAAGTAAAGATTCCCCCGCCCCCTATCCCCACCGTCCACCCTAACACTAAATTAAACAAACGATGGCGAGCTTACAACGTTAGCTCGCAATAATAAGACGCCTGCACCTCAGGCTAAGGCTAAACAGACAGCGCTAAGAAGTCTTATAGGCGGCGGTAGACCCAGTAATCGGCTTTTACTAAAACCCCTGTCACCAATGTTTCAAAGGTTCTAAAAGAGCTGAAGGACGAGGACTGGCACATGTGGGATATTGTGTGGACTCTTATCAATCGACGACACAATGAGAAAACCATTGCTTACACAGAGAGTCATGACCAGGCCCTTGTCGGTGACAAGACTATTGCATTCTGGTTAATGGATAAAGAGATGTACACGCATATGTCGGAGACAACGCCGCTGACCCCCATCATCGATAGGGGATTAGCATTACACAAGATGATAAGGTAAATTTTATTTGTTTGGAGGTTTCTTCTCGACTCTACTTTTGTCTCAGTTTTCATATCAAGACGAGGTGATGACTGTTACTAGGGTCATTTCCCAACCGTTGCGAGGCAAGTTAACTTTGCAAAGTCGCTGTTTTTCTTCTCAGATTGATAACCTTTGGTCTGGGAGGGGAAGGCTACCTGAATTTCATTGGAAATGAATTCGGACATCCGGAATGGTTGGACTTTCCACGCGAGGGGAACAACAACAGCTATCACTATGCACGGAGGCAGTTTAATCTAGTGGACGATCCGTTGCTTAGATACAAGTGTCTGTTTGAGTTTGACCGGGCCATGATGCACCTGGAGGAAAAATACCATTGGCTGGAGTCTTCTCAGGTAAGTGGTCAGTTTTAAATACTGTGTCTGTAAGGGCTCGATTGGCTAAGTAGCTGTATTTTGTAAATTTTAGATTGACCTTGAATCTAAGGCACTATTTTATAGTGCAGGTCTGTAAATAATTCTCAAAGGAATATTTTTTATTCACATTACCACAAACTAGTTGATGCCTTAAGAAACGACGTTGACTTCTTAATGATAAAGACCTAACTTCCTGCGCATGTCCTGATAACGGGATTTACGATGAGCTGATAAAATAATACCCATTGCTTGGTTTTGGAGGCGTTTTCAACGCTGAGAATTCTGCTTACCATAATCTCTCAAACTATACACCCATAATCCAATGTAGGTAGAATAGCTTGTTTATATATTCATAATAAGTTAATAACACGATCTATATAATGTATAATAATTATATATTCATAACAAGATGAAATTCTATTCAAAGTTAAGATTTTCGTTAATTTGTTTTCAGGCCTATGTTTCCTGTCACCATGAAGATGACAAACTAATCGTATTTGAAAGAGCTTCATTAATGTGGGTGTTCAACTTTCACCCTACCAAGAGTTTCGCTGACTACAGAATCGGCGCCAGCATCGCTGGAAAGTATCCTGAACGAAACCTATCTATAGATAAACCCAAAGCTATTTCATTCTGAATTCGATGGATAAGATCGATCTATCAAATTTCGCCAGATCCCAGAGTTTCTTTCAGGCTCAACTTTAGCGGTTTGTTCAATTTCGGCGAAGGAGCACAGGCTCATTAGTCGACCAGCGGCTGACGACCGAGCTCAATCTTCCCGGTGTGCTTGTAGGAAAAAGCAGTAAAGGGGCAGTATGCTCAAGAAACCGTACTATTTTAAACTCTGCCTTTGAAAGCCTTTATGAAATTGGAATCTCAGAAGTCGGTTAAAGAAACTTTTGTCACTCATTTTTTCAAGGCGGTGATGAAGATTACATGATTTCTGGAGAATGGTTCTCTTTTAAGTCTCCCGTACTTTTGTTTTACGTGCACAAACGCTTTACTTTTAGAGTGACTGGGAAAACTCATTTTTTATCCCATTATTTTGAAGAGAGGTAAGACCTTACAGAAAGTAGAGGGATTACAAGGATGACTTGATCACGTTTCTTAACGAAGGATTACAGATACAGAATAGTTTTGGAGACAGATTCAGCTGAGTACGGTGGGCACAAGCGATTGGATCCAAACTGTGAATACTTTGTAGACAGCCAGCCATGGCATGACAGACCATTCTCTCTTTTGGTAAGTTCATTGTGTGGCGGGAATTCTAACGCGGCGTTGCTGTCAACTACCCTTCGTCCCCAGATCCTTTCCTTCTTTTTCGTGGCGTATTTTTCTTTTTACTCGTACCCAGGCATTTGCCCTACGCATCGACATTGACTACATTGCCCTAAGTTCTTATATATCTGTGCCTTTTTATTTTGCAGGTCTACATTCCTTGCCGTACAGCCCTAGTTCTAGCTCCTGTATAACGTTTACTTCATGGGCCTATTAAACAGATAGTGTGGGAATCTCTGCCAATTTTTATACTGAGATAAATGGGCATTTTGTACATGGTGAACACAGTTCCCTATAAGATATGTTATATCATTAAAGTCAATCAACTATTTACGTGTGGGATATTTTAGGTCGATATACAATTTTTTCTTTATTTGAGTTGAAATATGTTAAAACGAAAAAATCACAACTCTTAAAAAAGGAGATTGCAGGAACATACTCCTGTTTGGTGAGGTTTTCATTTTTAGGTTATTAGGGAGTGTGTTTAAAAGTTGAAGGAATTGCTTTGAAATATCACAATCGCTGCAGTATTTTTAATACGAGCAAAGTATGAATCTAATGGCAGAATTTTCCTCCTTTAAGTTAAAACGTCGTAAAAGAGTGAGTCAGTTTTCATGTGGAATCGGTGGGGTGGTTTGACGAGTCACTTAACCTAATCAAATATCAAATTTTAGTTTAAAACTTCTTACTCCCAAGAGTGACAAAGACAGAATTTCACCTTACAATATCAATACAACATCAAGTAGACAAGTGATAAGAGTAAAGACGATTATCAATTACGAGATTATAAGTTGATACAGGACCAAATTATCCCAACTGACATCATGAGAATTGCCTGGAGATTTGAGTGAAGGGGTGAATTGTTAGAGTTAACTGCTTGTGATGGATTAGTGTCGGCGTGTTACGGATGAGGTGAGGGGTGTCGTTGTATAGTGGAGCAAGTAATAGAAAAATAAACAATTTATTTGGGATATTTTTTCTGTTGATTTCGTGTAAATTTCGTATACTTCAGTATTCTGTTTATATGAATGGACTTAACACGCGTGCTGCTTTTGACACTTTCTGTACAGGTACAATAGCAGTGAACTCTGTATTAGAATTAATCGTGTTTCGAACACGATCAAGAATATATGGAATTGTAACTAATGTGTCTGTTTATCGCGGCCGCAATGATTGTTAAACGTGTCTTTGCTTGTCTCGCGATTTAGTATTAGGGAGACTCCTGTGACTGGTTTTCAATCAGTGAAAGGAAAATTATCATGCTAGAATTTTACTTTGAGGAACTGACGGAACTACCAGGCGTGCGAAAAATTACAGGTGTTCCCATACAATCGGCGTTTTTCTTTTAATTGCCCTTTGGCTCGTTTCCCACTGAGAACCTGGAACAGGCTAGCTTTTAGATGGAGCACTTTTTAATAACTTTCCCCAGCGTTTTAGCTTCATGGCACTTAATCGAGTAGAAATTGGATTTACATGCTAATTACAAAACCCTCTCCGTTGTTTACAATCGGAAAAAGAGACTGGTGACTGATGTTCTAGTCACGTGACGCAAATGTTTGGTCCTTGGCGCCAAAATTTGTACTTCGTCGCCGACTTCCCATAAACCGTGCGCCATCTTGAAACACGATAAATCTCTTCCGATGGCATCTTCAAAGGACCTATTTCTGGCTCATTTTAAGTGAAAGTCAGTGTGAACGATGGGGGAAACTTTAAAAAGTCCTCGGCCGATACCTAACATCGTCACAGAGGCCACTTTTAGTCACCGAAAACCCAAGAAACCTAGTCACAGAAACTTAATTGAAGAAGATTGTTTACCTCCACGAGCTCCAGTGAAATCAGCTCCACCAATAAGCAGAGTTTTTAAACATACAGGAAGAAATTCGGTGGGAGCACTGCAAGTCAGTTTTCGAGATAGTGGTAGCGGTATCCTTTGAAAAGAACGCTTAATGTCTTTTGTAGTTGTGTTGAAGTTTGCGAAATTTTGATGATGTAATATTTCCATTGGATTACCTCTCGAGATTTCCAGAACTTTTTGTTCATGAACGTCGAGTTGAATATTGTTTCTTTTATTGTTAAATTTGAATGCTTAACCACTCTTTGACGCACATTCTTGACAACTCAAATCAGAAATTAAAAGCCCCCACTACAATGCCAAATCACGAGATCTCTATTTTGAGCAGGTAATTATAAGTCGGTTCATGTTTTATAATTATATTATCCTAACTGAAAAGATTTTGTGAAGACTCTCCCTCCTATTTTTTCAGTGTACAGCAATTAAATTATGGAAAATTCTTTTAAAATACCTTAGTGCACATAATATTATTCAAAGCCAAATGCAATTTCAGCATTTGTACAGCTGTACACTAAGTACGTTATTATATGTTACAATATTTCGCATGTTTATAAAACGCATAAGATACAGACGTAAAAGATAATGAAAAAGTACCTGGACTAAAGTAATCTGTTCCTTTATTACAAGTAGCTGTCCCAATGAAGAAATTATGGTGGCATTTTCTAGGTTTTCTCATTATGTACATAACATGATTGCACTCTCAACCTTGTATAAACATACACTCTACTGCACCAGCGGTGTGGACTCGCTAGAATGTGACCTTTTAACCCCGTACACTCTAAGATTAGTATTTATATTCTCTAAACTGTTCTCTTTACATTTGCTATGGTACTGACTAGGAGAATTTGATTGACGCTCAGGAGCTTCTGAAATCGGTGATCATTTCCAATATTCTCATTGCCCTAATATTTGATTTAAGGGTGATGCTGTAAGGAGAAACATGTTAACAGAATGTGCTTGCTTAGTTGGTTTATTTTTATGCACAGTACATGTTGTGCCCAATACTGAGGAATCATCTCAATGTGTTTTCCTCAGATGAACAAAATAAGTTTGGACTATTTTCAACTGATTCTCTCAACAGTGTTTTGTAGTTATCAGCAGACTTGGAGCAGGTTCATTTGGAGAGGTAAGTTCAATACTGCTGTTATGTGTAAATGCAGAGAGGGCATATAGTAATACTCACAGTTGCTTAAACCTTTACGCCCTGAAATTAGTATTCAATATTTTTCATACCTATCTCTGTACATTTCTTTTGACACTGAAAAGGAGAGTCTGTTTAATAATCAAAGCTCCTTAGGTTTGGGGATCATTTCCCTTATTCTCAGATCTGAATTATATGAAGGAGAAATTAGATGCTGGTCACTCTTATGGTTAAGAGGTTTAACCTAACAGAAATAAGTCTATACTTAGGTACTGAGAGCCTTGTTGACCTTGGATTTGTGAAGCATTTAGTAAGAGATGATTTAGCTGAATGGTATACATGTGGATCCTTCATGCCTCAGTGGCATTTCATTCTGTGACAATTAAAACAGTATACTGATTTTGTTTTCACTATTAGAGTTTAATGCAAGTAATATCTTAAGACAGACCAGCTAACAATACAGAGATCCTTCCCAAATGCTTCAGCACTTGTTAGCTGGTAGATAAAGGGCTGACAAGACTGAATGGTTCTCAAGATATGAATTTATTGATTAATCAATGCCTTTGCAGGTGTTCAAAGTGAGAAGTAAGGAAGATGGATGCCTTTATGCAATTAAGAAATCAAGGGATAGGTTCCGTGGTGATGCTGATAGGTGAGGACCACTTTGTTTTTATTGGCAACAACGAATTCCAGAGTAATCTTGTTTTTCTGTAACCTGATTTGTTTTACATTTTCTCACAGAAAATATAAACTTGAAGAGGTCAACAAACATGAGCTGGTAAAAGGTCATAGAAACTGTGTCAAATTTGTCAAGGCATGGGAAGAAAGGTTGGACATCTTTCTAGTCTCGCTTTACCTCTTGTTGACTGTATGAATATCCTATTGTAATTTTATTTCCTATAATTTTTTTAGTGCTCTGCAAGTATGTTGAGTGTTTCATTGTGACAGCTAAAGGAAATGAATACTATAATTACTTGTAGAAATAATGTTATGTTTCTGATTACAATTCAGGAAACGTCTTTACATACAAACAGAGTTGTGTGAAATGAGGTATGAAGAGCATGGTGATCTGAACAAATCAGTGATTATTATCACAATGGATATAGTTGATATGTGTGATTGAATAATGATTTGTTTTATATCTAGCCTCAAAGACTTCTTGGAGAAAAATGATTCAACCAGTGAATCTGTGGTGTGGGAGTTTCTAGTTGATTTGACTTTGGTTAGTACTGCATGGTACATTGTATGCATTTTCACTTGTATACATCTTTATTGAAAATGAACTCTTGTGTGCAGTTGGTTGATGAAATTATCTGTGGCACATAATTGAACAGATTGTTAATAAATCTTTACTTTACTAATATTGCAAAGGTGCATTCAAACTGAGGTGCAAAACAGCTTTGTTTTGCTGTTGCCTTTCTATTTCATGACTGAAGGAGTCTATTTTGTCTTTCTTATCCTTTAGTATCTTTAATTTATCCGTGAACTTGGCAATTAATGTTATTTGGCATCAGGAGAAGAAATGTTAAGCCTTGTGCAAATTATTTTCCAGGGTTTGAAGCATCTTCATGATAATGGTTTGATTCATATGGACATCAAACCAGCAAACATCTTTATTGGTCTGGATGGGTTGTGTAAAATAGGAGATTTTGGTTTGGTGTTGGAGTTATCAAAAGTAAGTGTTGTTGACTTAGTATGGCCTATTGTTTTGCAAATGAGTGCTCCAAGCCAGGTGATTTTCACTGCAGAAGTGCAATACCTTAGATGAAATGCATTCTGCTTCCGAGGTTGTTCCATAGACAAAACAAAACAAAACAAAAACAGCCAAAAAATTCTATCTAACATTAACCTCAAACTAAGATGTTACTGATAATTAAAACAAACCTTCAAATCCATTTTTCAAATTATTGTTGGCAAAGCATCCATAATTTTAAAAACAATTTTGTTATAACTTACTTTGTAACCAATGTTCTTTACAGCTGCAATTTTATTTATCTGGCTTTTTAGGGTGAATTTTGGACTTACACTGGCTGTGGAAATGGGGAAAGACAAAAACTGATTTGCTTCTGTGCATAATTAAAAAATAACTTTCCTTAAACTTGTAAATAAGTAGTGGAAATATTAATCTCCTTTTCAAAGAATAAGTGCTGAGCATTCTTTTTCTTTTATTGATTGATGTCCAAGGTACCCTTTACCCTTTTCTTTTCTTCTGTATCTAGTGTGACACCACCCAAGCTTTGGAAGGTGATCCAAAATACCTTGCTCCAGAGCTAATGCAAGGTCACTTTACAAAAAGTGCAGACATCTTCAGGTTTGTTGTCTTCTGTGAGAGTAGCAGCAATTCAATTCCTCCTATTTTTTTGTTGATGAACATGTCTCTGTCTAGACACTTAAACACAGATAGAGGAAGTATGAAAAGCTACATAAATGTGGTTACCTCTTATAAGACAGACACCTCTTCAAGACAGTTACTTACACCAGTAGTTAGGTCCCTTTGGTTTCCTTATTAGAGAGGTTTGGCTGTATTCAAAGTGTACATTTTTTCAGGAGTGCAAAAATGAGTGTTTTGCCCTTTAATTTTGGTATGTGTAGATGTATGTGTGGGTTTTTATTTGGCACTATTTTGTTTTGCTGTAATCAGTTTGGGCATAACTCTACTAGAGTTGGCCAGTGATCTTGAATTACCAAAAGGTGGACAAGCATGGCATCAACTTAGAAATGGAGAACTTCCCAACATCTTTACACAAGGTTTGTTCATCCACTAAGACTAGTGACAAGAACAGCCAGAAAAACACATTGAAGTCACTCACAAACAGTCAATGTTATCTACTGCAAGCAAATTGCTATGAAATTTTATCATACAATACTGTGAATGCATGCTGTAGTTAAAAATTACTTCAGGCTATAAATGAATTCAGACTAATTTAATTTGTTGTTTAAAGATTATGGTAGTGCACTAAAACAGTGGGAGATACAAGTTAAACTAGCCAGCTCGACAACACTTTCACAAGTTGTGGTGAACCTTAGCATATATGAACTAGTGTAAATAGATTCCTAATAATACTTGCTTTGAAACCTGCCAAAGAAACCCTTTTCTAACATGAAATATTTGAAGTATCCTTATTGAAGTTTAGAAAAACATACCAAGGAAACAAAGCACATTTGACAAACTTAAGATTTAGATTCAGATACCATACATACACTCAGATTTATGTTGGTCTTCTGCTCTTCAGGTATATCCCTAGAGCTTAGACGACTTATACTGCAGATGATGAATCCTTCACCACAACAAAGGTCTGTTGTATTCTCTTCATAATTATTTATGATTTGAGGAAACACCAGAAAACACATTTTTTTAAATTAAGCATTGATTTGGGAAGTTTCTTTTAGAAGACATAGGTGTCTCCAAAATCTTTTAAACTTTCTTTAACCTTCTTTTCTCAATTGCATCATATGTCAGCTGAATTTGTTGTAACATTTTCAGACCAAATGTGGATGAGATTTTAGCAGAACCTGCTGTACGCCAGGTAATCTAGTTAAATTGGGATCAATTAATTTACAATTGTTGGAATAAGGCTATCAACCCTTTTGTTAAAGTTATGATGCATGCAGCTGTAACTCTGGGAATTGATATTTTTAGGCATGGAAAAGGAGGAAAAGGGTTTATCTGTACAGTAGGATGGTGAGTGATTTACTTTTATTTGCAGAAAGGATCTTGACAGTGATCAATGTTAGTGTTGAGTTGTTTTAAATGGGACATTCTAGCAAATGCCTTCCAGGGAAACTAGAAATTCACTTCCTGGGTGATTGCCTCAAACCAGTTTTAAGATGAGGAATTTAACAATCTTTTAATCTAAAATAATATTTTAGATTAAAAGATTAATATCTGGCAACCAGGTGGACAATCCAACATGGTTTGATGCTACTCTGGTTTAAAGATTAAATGAATGTAACTGAGAAGTTACAATTCATTGACCCAACATTTTAACACTCCTGTTTGGTGCCTTCATCAGGGGTGATCTAAACGCTGGAAAAGGAAGTTTCTCTCAGAAAATAAGGAAAAAAGGAGTGTATGAAAGGACCTCTTGTTGCAGTGTTTAGATCACTCCTGATGAAGGCACTAGACAGGAGTGTTGAAACGTTGGTTCTATGAATTGTAACTTCTTGGTTACATTCATTAAATCTTTGAACCAGACTAGCATCAAACCATGTCCAATCTTTTAATCTATAAGCAAATAAAAAGGGTTCTCTGGTCAATTAATCATTCACTCAATCAATCAATCATTACCCTTGATAAGAAGTGGATTTATTGCATCATTTAAATAACAACTATGGTTTATCTATTCCAGAAGGAATCAATGTCTACGTTGTATTACTATCTTTGCTCTGTTTTGTTATGGATATGGATGGTGTTACTGTGGCCTTTCCGCCCATTTACAAGTAAGATTTGTTGTACACTATTGAGTTGCTCATGTCTTGTACCCATTTTGTAAAATGTAGAGTCTGTATGTACATGTAAGAGATCCTGCAACAGGATAAAAACAAATAATATTACATGTAAATTTGATATGCACTTTTTTAGAAAGTTTTGTGCATTTCATTTTTCACAATTTTGCGGAGAAATATTATGAAACTAGTTTGCCTTCTAGCACTATATTGCAGGCTGTAAAACTTCTGATTTGAGAAATGTTGGAGTTTTTATATGTTGGACAGCAACCTCCCATTAATAAAATGGGTTACTGCAGTTGAGATAGATGCAAACAAAAATTTCATAAGAATTGTGGGTTTTATAATAAATCACAAACTTTGCACAATGACAGTTAATGATGTGGTGAATAATATTGGATATGGAGGTGACCTTGACCATTAGAGGGAATGGGTTCACAACTGCTAGTAAAGCATCTAAGCCAGCTGAGAAATATTTGCCATTCTCTCTTACTTGTTAACTTTATAAAACTTTCAATTAACTAAATTAGATGCATCATAGAGGAGAACTCATGCAACTTTATCATTACATCCCAGATTCATGGGCATGGACCAAATCCTCTGCAAAATCTGATGTGT